AAGCCCAAGTGGCACCAATAGCCATCACCGCAAGCGTCTACGCCGAATTGACATGGTCGAGGGCGATTATTGGCTGCCAACAAGGGAGTGCCAGATGGGCAAGCATTCACATATGCTGGAATGAACACAAAAGTGGACAAACGTGTGCATGCATGATGCATGGAATTTTCGAAATTACATAGTCTTAAACAATTAAACAATGCTATCGATATTGGGAGCAAGATTTTGGGTTGAGTTTAGCGTGTAAATTCCATGGAAGGACGCGTACAGTGTCAGGATTTAACGTTTGGTGAATGTTATGAACGGTTTGATTGCAAGGGAATGATCATATAGAACACAGTGCTTACTATGACAAGTTTGTTCACAATCCGATTTTGTTAAGAAGTTGTTTTGATTGCCTTTCAAACCGTTGTATTGGAACGTTCCGCATGTCCTCGTTTGTTGGTTGTAATACCAGCGAGTGGCAGGTGGTGCTAGGGAGTCTGAGATGCCCACTGCATACGGCAATCCTTGACATGCGGCCGGATTTGTTGGTTCACCCGGACAACACTGATATTCAGCCGGTACCAAACCCAGATGACACCAATATCCCGCACCACATGCACCAGGACCGAATTTGCATGGTCGAGGGCGATTATTGGCTGCCAACAAGGGAGTGCCAGATGGGCAAGCATTCACGTATGCTGGAATGAACACAAAGGTGGACAAACGTGTGCATACTTAATGCAAGGGATTTTCGAAAGTGCATAGTCTTAAACAATTAAACAATGCAATCAATATTGTGAGCAAGATTTTGGGTTGAGTTAAGCGTGTAAAGTGCATGGGAGAACGCGTGCAGTTTCAGGATTTAACATCTAGTGAATGTGATGAACGGTTTGATTTCAAGGTAATGATCGTATAGAACACAGTGCTTACTATGACAAGTTTGTTCACAATCCGATTTTGTTAAGAAGTTGTTTTGATTGCCTTTTAAACCATTGTATTGAAACGTTCCGCATGTCTTCGTTTGTTGGTTGTAATACCAGCGAGTGGCAGGTGGTGCTAGGGAGTCTGAGATGCCCACTGCATACGGCAATCCTTGACATGCGGCCGGATTTGTTGGTTCACCCGGACAACATTGATACTCAGTGGGTACCAAACCCAGATGACACCAATATCCGGCACCACATGCACCGGGGCCGAATTTGCATGGACGAGGACGATTATTAGAGGCCAGCAATGGGGTGCCAGATGGGCAGGCGTTAACGTATGCTGGAACATCAGCACAAATAGAGGATGGCATTGGGTTGATTGGTCACAAACTAAACGGGTAAAATGCATTCAGCAACGGGTAATTCAGAGTCAACGAGTCAAAAATGTGTTCAGAGTTTGAGGTAAGTGCATTACAGGTTAGTTTCCTAGTGAGGTGCTTTGCTCAAAGAGTAGATCACCCATAAAACTTACCGCGACAAGTATGCTCACAGTCG